CCCCCCCAATGAATATACAGTCCGCCCTCCCTACAGGAGTTTGGCCCCCGCAGATTCAACCAACCGCAAACGGAAAACAGGACTTAACATCGGCGGCTGGGAATCCGGGCATGCAGAGGACCCGCGGGATGCACTGTTCTATGCCTTGTATATAATGAGCTTGCCCAGGCGTGCACTTTGATATGGGCAGTGGTCCTGCAACCAATCTCCCTCGCATATGGAGGGAAGACTGTAAAGATTTTCCACTGCGTTGGGTTCAGGGGTCCTAAAACCTGCCTTGTCCAAGGGCTAAAATTCGTGTTCCTGACCTACACCAATTCAAGACAACATTGAAAAGGTCTACTCACGTAAATCTCACTTCCCCGTGCCTCATTTTCCCCCCAAACACTCTACCACACTATTTTACTTATTTTTATTTTTATCTGACTTCCAAAGAATCTAAACTCCCAGTAGGCAGGGAGAGTTGTGTTTTAGTCTGTTGTTTCGCTGCCGTATCCCCACCACCTAGAACAGGCCCTGGCTAGTACACAGAGACTCGAATAGTTATTGGATTAATGATTCTTCACGGAACAGTGATTTTTGGTACCTTCACCAGTCAATCATCCTCTTTTGGCAGAAGTCACAGGATTTAAGAACACTTAGATGCTGTTTAATAATTGACTGTAATTTCTTACTCAACAAAGAATAAATGGAAGAATATTATATTCCACTCACTTAACTGGTTTAAATTTTCTTAATTTCAGTACAACATTTCCAGCTACACATTTTCATTTGTATGACCGGCCTTTAAAATATTTTGTCTATCACTTATGAGAATGGCAAATAAATGAAACTGGTTACTATAGCTTTAATTTCCTTCCTCTTATTTAGTATTTTAATCGTTACTTACTTATTAAAAGTAACATTGTTGCCTCTTTCTACTAAGATATAACCCCAAAGTTATTTGCCTAGATGAGCACAACTGTGAATATCATGCACAATGGACTGATATTTTTCTCAGTATATAACTGGATTTCTGCTTACCCTAAACAAAATTCATATACAAAAATTCTTATTTTAAAATAAAATGTTTCATGAAAAATAGCTGCTTTGTTTAGAGATCCAGTGTCAAGAACACTGGATTTCTAGACCTAGGACTAAGAGCTAAGTATACATATTAATGCCAGTCATTTAATCTGAATTGTAATTTTTTAATAAGCCTTCCCTAATACATGGCCAATTCCCTAGGGATAAAGAATACACTCACTAATTTAATTCATATATTTATTAAACATCTATTATGTGCCAACATCGATGTTTAATAAATATATGAATTACTGAGTACAGGGGTGGGCAAAAGTAGGTTTGACTTCAACTGCCTCAGGAGGCAGTGGGGCTAACCCAAGCAGGGCACTGCAATTCAGGTTTGTTTACTGAATTTCAAAGACTACAAGAATGTGCAGATAATGAAGGCCAGCAATTTGAGCACTTACAAGATTATAAGTGTGATTAAATGCACTGTGTCATCGTGACATTCTTGTGAGTTCGTAAAACTTCTGTGATAATCATAACCTGAATTTCTTTTTCCATACAAACTGTAAATCTTTTGCCCACCCCTGTATATTGTTATAATCATTTCTTCTCTTACCTGTCTTCTCCTTTGATTCACTGAATTACTCTACATATTTCAAATTCCCAAAGGAATTTCCTAACATTCAGACGTCATGCCTCCTCTTGGTATTGGTGGCCCAGCAATTCCCTTATAGTATTGGCTATGAGTCTACTGTTCACATAATGCTACCTGTTTTGGATACCCCTGCAGTCTGGAAAACATCTATAGCAGAATATCTGGTTTGCCTAGAGTTTAGCTTTACCTCACAGTTATGATGAAAGTTGGTATTTGTAAGGTTGCTGGGTGTGTGAGGCAGGTAGGGCAGAGCTAGGATTATGTATTCTTATTAACTTAAATGAATTAGGGAAAATCCTAAGAAATACGTGTTAATGTTAAAGTTGCCATGCCTCTGATTTTACTTTTTCTCATGATTCATTTCCTTGGGAAGCCATTTGTAAGCCTTTACAAGCATTTTTAATTACAAAATAACACCTGACTGATTAGTCAGTAATATGTAGGACCTTCTGTCCTTTTTTAATATGTTGATTCCCCAAACCTAAGTTTTACAAGTCTGAATCCAAGTTTCTGTATAGTCACCTGCCCTGGTAAATGTGTTGAGGAGGCTTTTAATATATGCATTAATGTTCATAGCATGAATGTTATATATTAATATTATAAAAATTTATATCCTTTAATAATTATATTACAGAACTTTTACTATTATAGCTTAATGAGTAATATAATAGGCACCTTATACAGAAAGCATTACTTAAAACAAGAGCCAGGTATTAAGTGTGAATACTTTTCAGCATTTTGTTGGAAAAGAAGTCCCACAAATTTTCTAAACATACTATCTAACCCAGGCTGACAAGTCAGAGTATGCTTGTAGTTTTCCCTTAAAATATTTTTTTTAAAGTAGCATCTCCCTTGTAACTGTTCCTGCAGTTTGTTTGGCTATATTGTATATAGTAAACAAAGCTAAGCTAAACTAACAGGCTAAAACCTAAGTTTAAAGAGTATAATTCCTTGCGTCTGTGGCCAACTATATGGCTTATTAGCGAAAACATAGTACATGTTAAGATTTCATTAAGTTGAAATTTGTGCCCCGTTTGAACAAATGAGTTGCTCAAAAGCATTCTGAAGAAATTTAAAATACTTGAAAGAATAAACAATACCTTCAAATTTTTCAGAATCATTCATTATAATTCATATCCTAATTACAAATTTTAAAATACACTCAAATCAATTATAAAAAAATCATCCAAGATGTGTGTATTTTGAAGGTAACATTCTTTCAATAATTTTTCAGGCTTTACACCAACAATTCCCTTTCCCTCAGTGTGTGTAAATTTCGTTAGATATTTGCAGATTACCCACATCTCTAAGTATGGTATAGGGATATGAAACAAACAGTGCTTTTCATTCATGCTTTCTTATTCAGTAAACTAAACACTGGAAACCCTAAACCAACTGCAGTGTATGAAGTCATGCCCAGAATCAAAGTGAAAATAACGGATCACAAGTTAAAGTTACATGTCTTTAATCAATGTATTTGTTCCTTTCTCTTTGACCGTAACACAGCACCGAGGTTCCCGAATAGTGCTGCTGGAATAGAGCCTTTAGACAGGAGCCAGGAACGACTACGTTTGCTGTGCGTACATTTCGCCAAGTGGAAATCCGCCCAACTACGCCTGCAGTTTCGATTTTGTACACTTTCAACAGGTGTCTTAAAATTTAAAGCTGGGTAACTGCTCTCATAAAGAGCTTCAAACCAAAATTTTCTCCGAAAGATGACACCTGCAAAAAGTACCTTTATCATCATCACTGCTGCTAGGGGCATTTCCAGGCACGGCTAAGCTAGCAGCGGATCACAAAGATTCCCGGGAAACTGCGCCACAGCCTGCGGAATGAAGACCGAACCCTCTCCCTCCCCGGCTCACTCCGCCTCTCCGGACACTCGGTACCGGCAGCCAGCGCGGGCGCCTCCCGTGTGCGGGCAACGGTTGCCACGAGCAGCTGTGTTCACGGCACGCAATTTGCCCGGTCAGTTGTCCCTTCGCCGTCGTCCCCTCCCTCTCCCCCCCCAAGGCAGAGGCCAGCGACGTCCTCCACCCTCTTCTCCACCTCTTTGGTGCCTTCAGCCAGGAGGCGGGAGTGACCCACAGCAGCTGACCCAGCACTGGCACTGCCTCTCCCACAGCCCTAGGACACACCATGGGCCCAGAGGCTGGTTTGCAGCACAGCAGCGACGACGCAGGTGGCAGCCCCGGTGACTCTCAACTGCCTCCCTGACCACCGCGACAACCGCCCAGCACACCGAAAAGCCATCGCCACCAACGGCAGGTGAATCTAGGGCCCTCAAAATCATCTTGGCGGTAAACTCAAGCTACGACAACAACTATGGCGGGCGAGGGGCGGCGGGCGGAGCCGGAGATAATACCATGGAGGCTGCACGTGACACCCAGGGCCCCCCTG